TAAAGCAGTGGCCACGGCAGTATGCAGAAGAATTCAGATCAAGAGAAAAGGAGACAGTGGTGGAATGTCAAACCCTATCAAAGATTTTTGTTTAAAATATAAACTCAGAGTCCCTTTCAAAGGCCTTGAAGGAAAAAAAAAAAAAACAGAGGCCTTGATTATTAGTAAATCTGATTGGGTTTTACAAACACATCCTGCTAAGGCAAGCAGAACTGATTTACACTTGAGTCTTTTCTTCCCAGTAGGTCTGTTCACAAATAAAATTTCCATCCCTGAATTCCAAGCCTCCCCAGTCACCACATCATGACTGGTAAACAAAATACATTTTTCAACAGGGGAAGACAGATGAACTGAAATCATTACCAGGGTATTTCTACCATGCTCCTTCTCTGAAATAATCTTAAATCTTTCCAAAAGGTCTACTTTTTAGAATATACTGTACAGGGTGATTGAGAAAGAACTGTACACTTTCAGAAAGAATACGATGCATGTACTCAAAACCAATATACAGGAATCATCACAGCCACTTCTAGAATGGTTCACTAGGCATCTTTCCTATTACCTGGCACATCTATACAGTAGAGAATTCACCCTAGACACTTTTTAGCATAACACTGTTAAAAGTCAAGCATGTAGGCAAAATACATTCCTTCATTTCCTCAAAACTATGAGGAAACCTCAAGACATGAGGTTCTAGACATAAATGTAAGGGTAAGTCTGCAATTTGGTATATGCTGTGCTTTCCTATGTAATCCAGTTATAGAGTAATAAAAGCTTAAATTGTTTAGAAACTCTTTGTACATCATATATGTAAAATATACATTGATCCAGGTGCCATAAGCTCATGATAATGTTGTCCTTTGGGTCAATACACTTCTAGCATTTTAGTATCTAAATTCTGTTTTAAAAGATCTTTGAGTGAGCCATCTAATACAGAATTTATCACTTTATTATCATATTGTATCTCTGGTAGTGTAGTGCCTAAAGCACTTGACTGCTAACCAGAAGACTGGTAGTTCAAACCCACCAGGCACTCCTC